AGTGTCTCGTTTGCGGACACCTCATTGTACATCAACTCGCTGATACCGGGTTTCCTATCAACACCATCATCATCATCCTTAACCATGTTTGCTCGAGTTTCACCTGGCCGTCCAGCCGCGGCGGTGCTCCTCAGCCTGCCTTGTCACAATGCCAGCACGCGGCAAGGCATCGCCCCCGCCACCCCCGGCCCCGTGCGATGGCCCGTGGGAGATTCTGCCGGATCCGCCCGCACCGACTCCTCAGCCAGGTGTCGACGTGGTCTTTGAGCAGGCTCACCTCGAAGACATCCGCCGTACACCAGGGATGGGCGGCAAGACCGCCTGCCAGTGGCAGCGCGCGCTGCGCGCCGAGTGCATTGTCAACAACTTGTCGTTCAAAGACGTAACAAACGACCCGTCCTACGACTGGAAGCAACTGCTTCGGTCTGCCGCTCCGGGTTTCGCTGAGCGCATAATCGGGCAGGGCATCGCCCAGGTTCTCTTTCGCATCATCGAGACAGAGCGCGACCCTAACTACTCCAACACGGATGGCCACGGCAGGCACTTCTTCGAGTTCCGTCGTGCAGACGGTTCAGCCATGCGCCTGCATTACCATAAGAACGGCCGACCCGATGAGCCCACCTATGTCGGTCCACCACGCGCCGTTGCTCAGCCTGCCGTGCCTGAGCCTGGCGCTGCTCAGCCTCATGTTCCTCGTGGCGGCGCTGCTCAGACTGCCGTGCCTGACGGTGGCGCTGCTCAGCCTGCCGAGACTGGCGGTGATGCCCCACTGCTCTTCACACAGGAGCACCTGCAAGAGGCAGCCTGCTCGCGCCAGATTGTGGGCCGCGACGAAGCCAGCGCCGCTCTCCAATCGCTGTTGCACTACCACCATGGCGAGACTGCCCCAGGTGCTGTTGACATCACCGATGGCTCAGCATTTGACTGGCTTCGATGGGTGGCACATATCGAAGGTGCGCGCGACGTCATCCGCAATGGCGTCCACAGGGTCTACGCTGTCCGCTGGAATCCGCACTGGGCTCCAGAGGCCGTCTTCTGCTACGGCAACAACACCTACAGCACACTGGTGCCCCGCAAATCGCGCTACACAGGCTCGTGGAGCCACGCGCGAATTGTGACTCACCGGAACGCCAATTGGGTGACCGAACCGTTGCTATCTGCGGCCCCTGTGGCAGCTACGCCGTGGCTGGTGTTGCGGGATCAAATAACCTGGGAGTGATCTCTGGCAAACGAGATGTGGTGCTTCTCAGCCTGCACTCATGTGACACGCAATGCCGTGCCCTGCAATCGCGTGGTGTTTCTCAGCCTGCACTCGCAGGTCCTTCGGAGGTCAATTGTTATGAGTTCGGCACGGTCTCGGTCAAGTACAGCGTGCTGTGGGGATCCCGAGATGGGGCCTGGCTCAAGGTGCTCAAGACGTACTGGAGTGTCCCAGAGCCGGAGTGCCAGCTGATCCTCGGGAGTTGGAACGGCATTTTCAGGCCGTGGCCGGACACGTTCTGGATCAGGACGGGGGGGTCCGAGCCCGAGATAGATGCTAGCGCTCTGCAGTACAAGTGCTTTTCAGCATGCGACATCCTGCGGTGCTTCTCAGCCTGCAGGGTTCGCAGCGTGCGGTTTGCAATGCATTCCTTTTCAGTATGCGAGTTCCTGCGGTGTTTCTCAGGTTGCAGGGCTCCGAGGCTCTTCCCTTCGATGCCAATGTTTTCAGACACCGTAGCTCCGTTCCGTAAACATCTTCCAAGAGCCGCTCGCAACTTTTTGCAGCTGGCGGTCTGCAGACGTAGTCTGTCTCAGCATGCGAGCTCCCGCACGCTTCGCCGGCTTTTGCTGCGCGGACAATTTTCTCACACACGTCAGCGCCGTTTGTAGGCGTCAGAAAAACATGTAGACATTCACGAAGGGCTCAGTCTGTATATCGTCACATCATTACATACGCAGTCGTCGAACACATCGGTGTACATTCAGCGCTTTGTCCTTCTAGCTGGGTCGCTTCGTGCTGAGGCTGAGGCTGATGCAGGCTGAGGCTGAGGCAGGCTGAGGCTGAGGCCGAGGCCGACGGCAGACTGAGGCTGAGGCTGAAGCAGGCTGAGGCTGAGGCAGAGGCAGGCTGAGGCTGAGGCTGAGGCAGGCTGATGCTGAGGCAGGCTGAGGCTGAGGCTGAGGCTGATGCAGGCTGAGGCTGAGGCAGGCTGAGGCTGAGGCCGAGGCCGAAGGCAGACTGATGCTGAGGCTAAAGCAGGCTGAGGCTGAGGCTGAGGCAGGCTGAGGCTGAGGCAGGCGGAGGCTGAGGTTGAGGCAGGCTGAGGCTGAGGCTGTGACTGCGACTGCCGTTGCCACTGCGACTGTCCTCGCGAATGCGACAACGACTGCGAGAACAGCAGAATTCTACAACTGGATTCTCATCCGAATCTTAAGGGGAATGCTTCCAGATATGCTCCTACACATGGCTGTTAGGTTGCTTTGCCGGGATAATTTTTGTTTATTGTGTTTTGTTGTTTGTTTGTTGTTTTTTGATTGTCGGTAGTTGTTGTTTGTTGCTTATTGTTGTTTTTATTGTTGCTTGCTGTTTGCTGTTTGTTGCTTGTTGGTGTTGCGTTGTATGTGCTGTTCGTTATTCATTGTTCGTTGGTCGTTCGTTGTTGGTTGCTGGTTGCTGTTTGTTGTTTGCTGTTTGTTGTTTCTTGTTTCTTGTGTGATGCTTGTTCTGTGTTGGTTGTTTGTTGTTTGTTGTCGTCGTCCCCCCCCGCGACCCGGCCCGCGACCCACCCGCAAACCACCCGCGACCCACCCGCGGCCCACCCCGCGACCCACCCGCTCGGGGGTCCAGATCGAGCCTTCCTTCCGATAGACTTTTGTGTGTGTGCGTGCGATGCTGATGCTGATGATGATGCTGATGATGATGATGTTGATGATGATCATGGTGGTGATGGTGCTGATGTTGATGATGATGCTGATGATGATGCTGGTGTTGCTGATGATGATGATGATGATGGTCATGGTGATGGTGATGATGATGATGTTGATACTGATGATGATGATGATGGTGATGGTGATGATGGATGATGATGATGATGATGATGATGATGATGATGTTGATGATGATGATGATGATGAGGATTATGATGACGATGATGGTGATGTTGATGTTGATGTTGATGTTGATGATGATGATGATGATGATGATGATGGTGATGCTGGTGATGATGATGGTGATGCTGGTGATGCTGCTGCTGGTGATGGATGATGATGATGATGATGATGATGATGATGATGATGATGATGAGGTTGATGCTGATGATGGTGATAATGAAGAGGATTTTGAGCCTGATGATGGTCGTGCTGATGATGAGTTGGGTGCGTGAGAGATGGATCGTGTGGTCGGTGTCTGACTGATGACGATGATGTGAGTGATCTAGTGAATTATGCTGATGGTGATGCTGATGATGATGCTGATGATGATGCGGATGCTTCTGCTGATGATGAATATGCTGATGCTGATGCTGATGATGCTGCTGATGATGGTGATGATGCTGATGGTGATGATGGATGATGATGATGATGCTGATGATGATGACGATGATGATGATGATGATGATGATGATGATGGTGGTGATGGTGATGGTGATGGTGATGGTGATGGTGATGGTGATGGTGATGTTGTTGATGATGACGATGACGATGATGATGACGATGATGATGATGATGATGATGATGGTGATGGTGATGGTGATGGTGATGGTGATGGTGATGGTGATGTTGATGATGATGCTGATGATGATGATGATGATGATGATGCTGATGATGATGATGGATGATGATGATGATGATGATGATGTGATGATGATGATGATGGTGATGGTGATGGTGATGGTGATGGTGATGGTGATGGTGATGGTGATGGTGATGGTGATGGTGATGTTGTTGATGATGACGATGACGATGATGATGACGATGATGATGATGATGATGATGATGGTGATGGTGATGGTGATGGTGATGGTGATGGTGATGGTGATGTTGATGATGATGCTGATGATGATGCTGATGATGATGATGATGCTGCTGCTGATGATGATGCTGATGATGATGATGATGTTGATGATGATGATGATGATGATGATGGTGATGCTGGTGATGATGATGGTGATGCTGGTGATGCTGCTGCTGGTGATGGATGATGATGATGATGCTGATGATGATGATGATGATGCTGATGATGCTGATGATGGTGATAATGAAGAGGATTTTGAGCCTGATGATGGTCATGCTGATGATGAGTTGGGTGCGTGAGAGATGGATCGTGTGGTCGGTGTCTGACTGATGACGATGATGTGAGTGATCTAGTGAATTATGCTGATGGTGATGCTGATGATGATGCTGATGATGATGCGGATGCTTCTGCTGATGATGAATATGCTGATGCTGATGCTGATGATGCTGCTGATGATGGTGATGATGCTGATGGTGATGATGGATGGTGATGATGATGATGCTGATGATGATGATGACGATGATGATGCTGATGATGATGATGATGAGGATGATGATGATGATGGTGGTGATGGTGATGGTGATGGTGATGGTGATGGTGATGGTGATGTTGTTGATGATGACGATGACGATGACGATGACGATGATGATGATGATGATGATGATGGTGATGGTGATGGTGATGGTGATGGTGATGGTGATGGTGATGGTGATGTTGATGATGATGCTGATGATGATGCTGATGATGATGATGATGCTGCTGCTGCTGATGATGATGATGATGATGTTGATGATGATGATGATGGTGATGATGATGATGATGATGATGATGATGATGATGATGATGATGATGATGATGATGGTGATGGTCATGGTGATGGTGATGATGATGGTGTGTGAGTGACCCACCGTGCGAGTGGAGAGGAGGAGAGTGGGAGGAGGAGAAATTCTGCGCGGGCCACCCGAGGAGGGGTCGGACGGAGGCGCCTGCGCCCCCCGAGCCCCAGGCGGTGCCCGGGCTCCTCGGGCAGGCCCCAGCGGGCGGCGCGCTGATGGGCGGCGGGATGTTCGGCGCGGGTGGCCTGGGCGCGGCCACCAGCGGTATCGTTTAACCAATCCCCATCCCCATCCCCATCCCCTTCGAGACCGCCACCAAATTGCCACCCAAGTTGGGGATACACCCCTCGAAGCCCGAAGGACACGGCCTATATCCCCATCTAGGGGGGTAAATCGGCCAGTGGGGCCCAGGCCACGCCGCTGGGGATGGGGATCGGTTCATCGATGCTCACACCAGCGGCGGGGGCGGGCGTTCGGAGGAGTTCGGAGGAGGGGAACGCGCGGGTATGCGGAGGCTTTCGACGGAGGAATGTGTTGTTAGGGAGGGAAGGGCCTCGGGGAGGAAGCAGCGGATGCGATGAACATGCACTTTCGGAGGCCCGCGCGGACGTCTCGGATCGGCGCTGCAGCCCCCTGGCGGCGCCTCTGCCGCCGTCCCTGGCGCGTTCCGCGCACCAGGGAGGGGGGTCAGCGCCGATCCAAGAAACCTGATCGGACAAGAACGGGAAGCGCCGCTTTAATATAATGGGCGTATTGGGCGCAGAAGAAAAGGAAGGCGAGGGCAACGAGGAGTCGATGACGAGGACGACGTGGCGAACTTGAGGATAGCGATGAGGAGCATGAGGACAGCGAGGAGAAGGAGAAGCACAAGGACGAGGACGAAGAGAACGAGGGCGAGTACGAGGAGGAATGCGGAGGGCGATGACGACGACGACGACGACGACGACGACAGAGGACAGTACGAGGCAATTGGAAAAAAGACGTTGCTCCTGGCGCCGCGCGGGGTTCTCTTGGGGCCTGTTGGGGGCTTCTTGGGGGCCCCTTGGGTCCTCTTATGGGCTTCTGGGGTCTTCTTGGGCTGTCTGGGCGCGTCGTTGGGTTCTGTGGGAACTTTCTTAGGCCGTCTCGGTGCCTTCTTGGGCCGTCTAGTGGCTTTCTTGGGCCGTTTGGGGGCCTCCTGGGGCGCTCCCGGGAGTGTCTTGGGACCTTCTTGGCCCTTCTAGAGCCGTCTTGGGGTTCTTGTGAGCTGTCTGGGTGGCTCCTAGAGCGCTCTTGGGGGTCTCTTGGGGTCTTCTTGGGGCGCTCTTGGGGCGCTCCTGGGGCTCTCCGGGGCATCTTTGGGGCCTCCCTTGGGCCGTTGGAAAGCCCTCCAGGAGCGATTCGAACACGACATCGATTCGGAGTCCCTCGTGGGCCGATTTTTGAAGGACCTCTCGAGCGAAATGGCCATTTTGAGTGGAATCTTGGACTGTCCAGGCGTCTCTCGAGGGTCTGTGGGGGTCCCTTGGGCTGTCTTGGCGTTATCTTGGACTGTCGTGGGGCTCTGGGGGCCTGATTGGGGCCCGTGGGGAGCATTTTGGGAGCCTCTTGGAGGCTTCTGTGACCCTCTTGGACTGTCCAGGCGTCTCTCGAGGGTACGTGGGGGCTCTCTTGGGCTGTCTTGGCGTTATCTTGGACCGTCTTGGGGCTCTCTTGGCCAGTCCTGGGGCCTCTTCGCGCGCTCGGGGGGGCCTCTGGGCGCCTCTTGGGGGACTCTGGGCGCCTCTTGGGGGCCTCTTGGGGGTCTCTTGGGCCGTTTCGGGGGTCCCTGGGGGGCGTTTGGGGGCTCTCTTGGGCCGTTTTGAGGCCCTCCGGGAGCGACTCCTAGATAATGCTGGTTCGGAGTCCCCTCCGGAGCCGATTTTTCGAGGATGTCTCGAGCGAAACGGCCATTTTTCCGGAACCTGATCGGACAAGAACGGGAAGCGCCGCTGTAGTCTAATGGGCGTACTGGGCGAAGAAGAAAAGGAAGGCGAGGACAACGAGGAGTCGATGACGAGGACGACGTGGCGAACGTGAGGATAACCGCATGCCGATGATAATAAAGGGACCCCCCCCCTTCAGTGTTTAGAGTTGATTATCGTCGCCCTATACAAAATTCAAATTTGGCGGCGAGCGCTGAGGCCGAACTTCATTATCACCTCGAAACGCTATGTTGAGATAGCAACATCAAGCGATGTTGATATAGCAACATCAAGCGAAGCGATCACACTTTTTCAGGATGTGTCAAGCGAAACCAATAATTTTGGGAGGCAGACTCGAACGAAACGAGCAATGTTCTTATTATTCTTCTACTTTCCTCTTCTTCTTTTATATTTCTATCTGTCCTCACACTCGCCTGAACTTTTTTTTATCCCTGGGGTTGATTATCCATGGAAAATGTAGCACATGAGCTACCCTACACGAGCACTTAAAAACATCAATTTTCATACATCGTTTGTAAATTAAAATTGATAGATTTGGAACTTTGGATGTTTCCTTTCTTCGTCCTCTTCTTATTCTCCTCTTATTCTTCTTTCTTATTATTCTTCTACTGTATTATTCTTCTTTTATATTTCTCTCTGTCCCCACGCTCGCCTGAACTTTTTTATCTCTGGGGTTGATTATCCATGGAAATTGAGGCACATGAGCTACCCTACACGAGCACTTACAAACAACAATTTTCATGAGAGATAAGCCATTGTTGAGGATATTTCTATGAAAACTAAACGCCAAGGATGTCTCAAAACGTGCTCGGCTTGGTCTCCTCTTGATCATCTCTTACTTCGAGATTATGCTGAGGTCTGCTGGGCTACTTTTATTATCTCTCCCTGAACCCCGAACTTTATTATCCCCTAGTGTTTATTCTCACGGGCATGAGGTTAGGGAGGAGGAGCATGAGGACAACGAGGAGGAAGAGAAGCACAAGGACGAGGACGAAGAGAACGAGTGCGAGTACGAGGAGGAATGCGGAGGGCGATGATGACGACGACGACGACGACGACGACGACGACGACGACAGAGGACAGTACGAGGCAATTGGAAAAAAGACGTTGCTCCTGGCGCCGCGCGGGGTTCTCTTGGGGCCTGTTGGGGGCTTCTTGGGGGCCCCTTGGGTCCTCTTATGGGCTTCTGGGGTCTTCTTGGGCTGTCTGGGCGCGTCGTTGGGCTCTGTGGGAGCTTTCTTAGGCCGTCTCGGCGCTGGGGGCCTCCTGGGGCGCTCCCGTGAGTCTCTTGGGGCCTTCTTGGCCCTTCTAGAGCCGTCTTGGGGTTCTTGTAAGCTGTCTGGGTGGCTCCTAGAGCGCTCTTGGGGGTCTCTTGGGGTCTTCTTGGGGCGCTACTGGGACTCTCCGGGGCGTCTTTTGGGCCTCCCTTGGGCCGTTGGAAAGCCCTCCGAGAGCGATTCGAACACGACGTCGATTCGGAGTCCCCTCTTGGGCCGACTTTGGAGGATGTCTCGAGCGAAACGGCCATTTTTTCAGAAACCTGACCGGACAAGAACGGGAAGCGCCGTTTTTATCCACCACGTGCGTCAGAGACCGTATTGGCGAGAACGTCAGAGAAACCCATAAACGCAACAGAACAGACTAAATGATGGCCTGCCGCGCTGGTCTGTCGAGGTAGTCTGCTGCCCTGGCCACATCATGGTGTCGACACCGTGCTTTTCTCTCGGCCACGCGGGCCCCCACCCGTTGTCGCCCAGCCTACTTTTTCTGTTCCAGCCTGTCTTGTCTTTTGTTTGTCCGTCGTCGTCGTCGCGTGCCTTTCCTTTGTCGTGGTCGTCGTTTTCATTATAATCGTCCGCTGTTGCCGTTCTCGCTGTCGCCGTCGTTATCATTTTATGATTGCGGTAATTTTTCTGATTGCTTTTTTGTTGTTGGATTCCGTGTTCGGTTGGTTTTTGTGTTATGTTTGTGGTCGTTTTCTGTCATCGTTTTTTGTCGTAATTTTCGAGATCGTCATTGACGAAGACGACGACGAAGACGACGACGACGACGACGACGACGACGACGACCACGACGACGACGACGACGACGACGACGACGACGACGACGACGACGACGACCAGGAGGACCCGTGCCGGCTGGCTCGGGGTGCCCGCGTCCCTCTGCTGCCGCAGGCCGCCGCCAGCGAGTTCCGAAGTGCGGGCCCGTACCCCTTAGTTAGAGAAAATGAAGCCCCAGAACCAACGGTGCACGCCGGAGGCGCTTCCCGTCATCCTCGAGTTCGTCTGGAGGCCGTCTCGAGGCCGTCCTGAGGACATCCTGGGCCGTCCTGGCGGCACCGTGGGTCGTCTTGGGGGCCGGGGGCTCTTGGGGGTCTCTTGGGGCGCTTTGGGGGTCCTCTGGGGGGCCTTCGGGGTTTCTCTTGGGCCGTTCGGAGGCCCTCCGCGAGCGTGCGGTCACTCCAAGAGCGATTCGAACACGGCGTCGATGCGGAGTCCCCTCTTGGGCCGATTTTTGGAGGATTTCTCAAGAGAAACGGTCATTTTTCAAAATGTTGCTGCTGATGGTGATGGTGATGCGTACGATGATGATAATAATGATGATGATGAGGAGGATGATGATGAGTATGAGTATGAGTATGGTGATGATGGTGGTGATGATGATAATGATGATTACGATGACGATGGCGATGAGGATGACGATGATGATACGAATGATGATTCTACTTATGGTGATGGTGGCGATGGTGATGATGATGCTGATGGTGTGGATGATGATGACGATGATGATCGTGGTCCTGGGCATGCGTATGATGATGATGATGATGATGATGATAATGATAATGATGATGATGATGATGATGATGATGATGATGATGATGATGATGATGATGATGATGATGATGATGATGATGATGATGATGATGATGATGATGACTTCTCGGGGTGTGCTTGGGAGATGTTGGGGTCCTCTGGAGAGCCTTTGGACTAGCAGTTTAAATCTGCGTAGCCGTTGTAACCCGACTCTCGTTTTCTTCATCGGTCTGACCGGTTTATCAGCTTACACGGCACAGCGCAGCAACACGACAGACGGCAGCAGCACGGCAGACCAGGAAGGCAGACCACAGGAGCACGGCGGACCAAAACGGCAGACCAGAACGGCAGACCGCAGGAGCACGGCAGACCAGCACAGCTGACCACAGGAGAACGGCAGACCAGCACAGCGCTGTTGCAACAGACGGTGCTGATACACTCTTAATCTATTGAACACGTCCCCAGCGAAATCCTCATGTTCGGCCGTATTGAGGGCACTCTGCGGGTCATCTTTGGGCCGATTCTGTTTTTGGGGGGCCGTACTGATGCCCTCAAAAACGATTCCAAGACGACGTTAGACTCATTGTTTGTTTGATGATTGTTCGGCCGTCTTGAGGGCACTCTTAGGGCATAGTCTGCCGTGCTCCTCGTCTTGGTCTGCCGTGCTCCTCGTCCTGGTCCTCCTTTCCGTCGTCTTGAGGGCGCTCTTGGGGCCTGGTCTGCCGTGCTCCTCGTCTTGGTCTGCCGTGCTCCTCTCGGTTTCAAGATGGTCTTAAACGATAGCCTCCAACTCCTCGATTTTTGGAGGATGTCTCGAGCGAAATGGCCATTTTGGGGAATCCGCCAACGAAAAATCCCGTGCAGCGCGGCAACCCATATAGTTAAAGAAAAGATATATTTACTCAAGGATTCAGCCAGAACGTCCCGCTTGCTTCTCGTACCTCGAAGACGCTTCCCGTCATCCGCCAGCGAGTTGCCGGGTGCAATCCGTGCCCCACAATAAGTTTTTACTACCAATAAACGGTCCACGCCGAAGGCGCTTCCCGTCATCCGCCAGCGAGGTGCCGCATGGAATCCGTAGCCCTTAGTTTGAAAAAATGAAGCCCCAGAACCAACGGTGCACGCTGGAGGCGCTTCCCGTCATCCGCGCGCGACCTCCGAAAGTTTATGTTTCTGTAGTTTGTTGTACCTCTGGATTGAGAGTGTCCCACGGGGGAGGTGGGGTTCGCACGGTTTTCGGAGGCTTTCGATGGACCCAGACCCCCTCGAGTCATGAAGATATTACGCAATAGTTGTTGTTCGCCATTTTTGGCTTTTGGGGGCCCTGGCCAAGCAAAAACGGCTCAGGATGAAAGCCGGCCCACGGGAATGGGTCGAGACCTCTCGGGGTCGACGTTGTGGCAAAACTCATAACGTCGGGTGTCTGGAGACCGCGAGAGGGAGGGAGGGAATGACTGTGGGGGCGTCCCACAGAAGAGGAGAGCGGGGGGCGGCGCCCTATCTCATCTTTGCCCTGCACCCCGCCCGCATTGAGTACAGTCTTGTCGATCTCCGACTCTGGGCCCCACCTGACCGATCCCGGCTCTCATTTCTACGATTCCGGCGCCCACCCGCTGCACCCGCGTATAGGTGCCCTCGTGCGGGGCCGGCCGATGTGCTCCCCGTCCATCCCATTCCCCTCGCTCTCTCTATCCACACGCTGCGGTCACAGCTGCTTAACGCGGCGCGTCGCGCCGATCGCGGGTGGGGTCGACTTCTGTCGCCCCGAGGAAGAAGACTCGGCACGAGCATTGGGTCTGTGCTGGCCCCCCCCTGGCGTCGGCTCTGGCGCCGCTCCGCGCGCCAGGGAGGGGGGGCCCAGCGCCAAGCCAGGCACTCCGCGCGGATCTCCGCACGCTCATGTGGCTAGGGCTCCCATCTCAAAGCAAGGACCCCCTACAGAGCGCACATGCACACTTGCCCATCGTTCGGTGGAAGTGGGCATCCTCTGATATCCGAGGTCCCACTCTAAGTCAGGCGCCATCCTGTCTCAAGAGCCAGATGGCTTCCGAAGCGCATTTGGCAAGAGAGAGATCTCTGAGAGTGGCAAGGAGGCGCCACAGAAGAGCGCCCAGCCTGGCAGCCGCTCCGTCCGAGATCCGTCGCAATCTCTCCAGGAAGAGTGCTCTCGCCCAAGTGCTGTCTACATTTTCGGTCCAGACGGCCATGATCTTTTGTAACTAATAAACTCAGGTGCTCAAGGCCGTGCTCTTACCTCTGATGCTTGGGAATGAAGTGTTTCACCATTGGACCGCCTAATCCTTGGTCCGCCTTTGTTGCAACGGACCCGAGGCTGGGTCCAGAGACTGATTTTGATCGGATTTCGGCTGCGCGTTCGTTGTCGTCATCGTGATCGTCGTCGACGGCAACGGCGACGGCAACGGCGACGGCAACGGCGACGGCGATGACGACGACGACGACGACGACGACGACGACGACGACGACGACGACGACGACGACGACGACGACGACGACGACGACGACGACGACGACGACGACGACGACGAGCGCGGGCGGAAACTCAAACATATTACAAATCCCCGGCTGCGAGGTGGCGGCTCCGGCGGCGGGCTCTTCGGCGCGCAGCCCGCCGGCGGCCTCTTCGGCGGCGCGGCGAGCTCCGGCGGCGGGCTCTTCGGCGGCGCGGCCGCCGGCGGGGGCCTCTTCGGTGGTGCGGCGAGCTCCGGCGGCGGGCTCTTCGGCGGCGCGGCCGCCGGCGGGGGGCTCTTCGGCGGGGCGGCGAGCTCTGGCGGCGGGCTCTTCGGCGGCGGCGGGGGCCTCTTCGGCGGGGCGGCGAGCTCCGGCGGCGGGCTCTTCGGCGGCGGCGGGGGGCTCTTCGGCGGCGGCGCGGCCAGCAGCGGCGGGGGCCTCTTCGGCGGCGGCGCGGCCACTGGCGGGGGCCTCTTCGGCGGCGGCGCGGCCACCGGCGGGGGCCTCTTCGGCGGCGGCGCGGCCACTGGCGGGGGCCTCTTCGGCGGCGGCGCGGCCACTGGGGGCCCAGGGGGGGGAGGAAAGTACCCTCGGCGGTGCAGAGGTGGGGCCCTGAGTGCTGGAGCCTGGAAGGGTGAGGGGCCCGGAACAGTGGAAGTCCAACGTCGGATCTCTTCCTGTCCTCGAGGCCCCAGCCCTCGGGGCCCCAGCTTTGAGCCGCAGCCTCACCACCGCGGGTCGGGCACGCCCCTGCCCTCTTGTCTGCCAGGGTCGAGGAGTGGGCCGGCTCGAGCAAGCAGCACCGTGCCATGGTTCGGTCTGTTGGTGCGGTGTCGTACTCCTGCCGCCCCCCACCAGCCACGCAGTCGTCAGGGTGCAACTCCTCGGAGGTAGAATTCAGAAGCGGCGCTGGCATTTCCCGGGTCCAAGACCAGCCTAATCTGGCTTACAGTCGCTAGATCCCGCTCATTCCGGCTTATTTCGGGCGACGACATCTATACATATCCACTGCTCCCTGGCCAGGCCCATCCTGAACCCAGGAGTTGTGCATACGCCCTCCTGGCCACGCCAGGAGGGCGCAGCGTATACACAGCTGCTGGGTTCAGGATGGGCCTCGCCAGGGAGCAGTGGATATGTATAGATGTCGTCGCCCTATTATTCCCGCCGGTCGAAAAAAGTAAGGTTTTCCGGATTCACAGATCCCAATCTATGTTAGGCGCCTTCTTACTTCCATGATCGAGCGGTTTCCCCCGTTCCGTCCTCTTCGGGGGGCGGGCGGAAGCCACATATATCTTCACCGCCTTCTGCTCCATGCCTCTACCCACTTCTCCTGACCGACGCGCACTTTGGTTCAATCCTGGGCATTATCTGGCCCAACCTGGTTTAACGGCCCTCTCATCGGGCTTGCTAGCCCGCTGCATCCTCGCAGTCGAGGGGGGGGGCCGTGCAAGCCTAGGCCTCCCAGATGGGGCTCGAGCAAATGGTGTCCGAGGATCGCGCCGCATCGCCGATGCATTGGCGATGCGGCTCGACCTATGATGTTCCAACCTACTTTAGCCTTGACGACCAGAAAGAGTCTCGAACACCAAGAGAGAAACGAAACTGGATGACCTTGAAGGGCGACACAACTGGGAACGTCCTCACGTGTCGGGCCCTGGCGATGCTCGTTCGACATTTCGCCAGCGTCTCGCCAGCGCTCTGGGTGCTCGAAATTATTTTGGGGATGTGGCCCTGAAGTCCGATTGGATCAACATAGGCTCGATGTGGAGCTTGATTTTTGTCCACGCCGACGTCGCCGATGCATCGCCACCGTCGCCGGTGCATCGACGAAGCGTCGCGAGTTTTCCGACCTCGTCTATTATGACCCCATCTCAGCGACGCCGAAAAAACATTCTCGTGTAAGCCGACATTCTCGGCTTCCGATGCCCTTCCGAAGTCTCAAGATGGCTCAGCAAATTGCGCAAGAGGGCTCCAAAAGTGGCCCAAGAGAGCCCCAAGACGGCCCCAAGAGCGCCTCAAGAAGGGCGCCCGAAGAGGCCTCAAAGAGGCGCCCAAGAGATATCCCAAGTGACTCCGAATAGGCGATCTGACGGGTTCGGTCGTGCCGACATTCTCGTGTAAGCTGCCCGCGCAAGGTCGCGTGGAGGCGCCCTCGTTCCCAGCGCAGCGTGCCGCGCTGGCGGCCCGCGTAAGCTGCGGCGTAAGGCCGCTATGCCATCTCGCGCACGGCCCGTTTCTTTTCGTCGGTCATCTGTGCTGCTTCTTCGAAATGATACTGTTTTTCTTGGTTTATTTGTGCCAGAGCTGTTCAGCACAGCAATGGGAAGGGAATCGTAAGGGGCAATAGTGAAATATATCTAGAAGCCTGAGATTAGTCTGCTATCAGCGCTGAGGCTGAGAAACTATTCGTTCTCTGCCTCTTAGCAAGGGAAGTCCTGCCCAGGCATGTTCGGGCAGACCTCTGGCGGCGGCCTCTTCGGCGCGCAGCCCGCCAGCGGCGGCCTCTTCGGGGCGCAGCCCACCAGCGGGGGCGGCCTCTTCGGGGCGCCCGCGGCGACTGGCGGCGGCCTCTTCGGGGCGCAGCCCACCAGCGGGGGCGGCCTCTTCGGGGCGCCCGCGGCGACTGGCGGCGGCCTCTTCGGGGCGCAGCCCACCAGCGGGGGCGGCCTCTTCGGGGCGCCCGCGGCGACTGGCGGCGGCCTCTTCGGGGCGCAGCCCACCAGCGGGGGCGGCCTCTTCGGGGCGCCCGCGGCGACTGGCGGCGGCCTCTTCGGGGCGCAGCCCACCAGCGGTGGCGGCCTCTTCGGGGCGCCCGCGGCGACTGGCGGCGGCCTCTTCGGGGCGGCCCCGGCGGCTGGGGGCGGGCTCTTCGGGGCACCCGCAGCGACTGGCGGCGGCCTCTTCGGGGCGCCCGCGGCGACTTCTGGCGGCGGGCTCTTCGGCGCCGCGCCCGCAGGCGGAAGTCGACGTGGATTGAATCGCAGAACAGCTGCACGGATCTCTTTTGTGTCGGCGCTGGGCTTCGCGCCTCCGGTGCCGCCCGTGGCGCAGGGGGTCCAGCGCCGATCCAAGGGATCCGCGCGAACCTCAGAGAAGTCATGTTTCTGCCGTTCTGTTCCTCTACAGTCGGGGCCCTGAAGAAGGAACCCTTTTCGTTGGGGAGGGGCTGCGTGTTCCTCAAGTGTTTCACAGTTTGCCTCAGGTTTTCCTTATGTTCTCGATGGGAAATCGAAGTTTAACTTGTGGGATCAAGGGGCCTCGTTCCTTCTTTAGGGTTCCTTAGGTCAACGCCCCGACTGTACAGGGAGGAGCGCATCGACCCCTCACTACCCATTCCTCGCTGATGGGCCTGACAGCCCACCCCGCCCCGGAGCGTGCGGATTCGCAATCGCGTGCCGATCGCCGATTCATCGGCGATGTGTTGCCGATTCAAGCTCGACGTTTCCCACCCTGATCTGGTCCCTCCGTCGCTCCACCCCAACACGGAGGAAGACTTGGCATCGCTCGGACGTGTGCATTTTTTCTCGGCGAGGACCATCGAAGAGCATCCTGGATCATCGAGCAAGAAAAACACGCACAACACCGAAAAACGCACAGGGAATGGACGTCCGAGCGACGGCAAGAAGAGGGTCATGGGGGAAACGGGTCCAGCAGATGCCCGCATGGTCGTTTTGGGTCGGGGCTGGATCCCCCACCACGAGCGCGCGGAGCGCGCCAGTGGCGGCGCCGAGGTAGCCGCCGGGGGGCCCCAGCGCCAGGGGCCCAGCCCAGTGCCTAACATCGGCATGAGCATCTGCTCTCGGGAATCCGTGCTTTTTGGGGGTCGGGGATTCACCCCCTCTTGGCGGCGCCTCCCGCGCCGCCTCTGGCGCGCTCAGCGCGCCAGGCCAAGGTTCCAGCGCCGGCCTGGGGGGCATCTGCGCGGACCTCCGACAGTGTGTGTTGTCCCTGCAGTTTCATCTTCCTCCTGTGCTGGAGTTTTCGGCCACGCGCAGAACGGGGGTAGGGGGAGGGGGCAAGCTTCATAGAGGAGGCTGCTTCTCAGATGGCGCGGGCCTTGTCTACAGATGTATGGCCGGCGCCTTCGGAGGAGCAGCCTCCAACCCAATCCATCCTCAATCTGTGAAACGCTTGCAAAAATTGTGCAACGAATGTGCGCGGTGCTGAGGCGAGAGCCACATTTTGAAAACGAGCCGCAGTCAACCCATGAAGCTCTTGCAATTTGTTCAAAGGAGTATGTGCGACGCTACGCCCACATTTTGAGAACGGCCCGCCCTCAATCCGTGAAGCTCTTGCACATGTTCAAAACGAATGTGCACGGCGCTTAGGCGAGAGCCACATTTTGAAAACCACCCGCCTTCAATCCGCGAAGCTCTTGCACATGTTTGAAACGAATGTGCGCGGCGCTGAGGCGAGAGCCACATTTTGAAAACCACCCGCCTTCAATCCGCGAAGCTCTTGCACATGTTTGAAACGACTGTGCGCGGCGCTGAGGCGAGAGCCACATTTTGAAAACCACCTGGCCTCCATCTGTGAAACGGTTGCCAGTCTTTCAACTTGAGGCTTATAAAGGGTACGGAAATTTCAGGCGAAACGCCCTGCCCGCCTTTCCGACTGGCCTCGGGGTGCGACAGGGAAGAGGCATTCATGAGGGAAAGGAATGGAGTAGTAGGGAGAGGAGGAGGAGGAGGAGGAGGAGGAGGGGGAGGAGTAGGAGGAGGAGGTAGTTGTTGGTTGGATGATGATGATGATGATGATGATGATGATGATGATGAGGATGATGGTGATGCTGATGCTGATGCTGATGAGGATGATGATGACGCTGCTGCTGATGATGATGCTGATGATGATGACGATGACGATGATGATGATGATGAGGATGAGGATGAGGATGAGGATGCTGATGCTGCTGATGATGATGCTGATTATGATGTTGATGCTGATGCTGATGATGACGATGCTGATGATGAGGATGATGTTGACGATGCTGGTGATGATGCTGATGATGATGCTGATGATGATGCTGATGCTGATGCTGATGCTGACGCTGCTGATGATGATGGCAGTGACGATGATGATGCTGATGATGATGATGATGATGATGATGATGATGATGACAATGATGATTATGATGACGATGATGATGCTGATGATGATGATGCTTCCGATTATGATAAGTATGATGCTGATGCTGATGCTGATTATGCTGCTGCTGCTGATGACGATGACGATGCTGATGCTGCTGATGATGACGATGATAAGGATGATGATGCTGATGGTGAAGATGTTGCTGATGATACAAGTGATGATGCTGCTGCTGATGATGGTGATGCTGCTGATGATGATGAAGAAGAATAATAAGATGATGATGATGATGATGATGATGATGATGGTGATGCTGCTACTGCTGCTGATGATGATTATGCTGATTCTGATGATGTTTATGATGACGATGTTGATGATGATGATGATGCTGATGATGATGATACTGATACTGATGATGCTGATCATGATGATGCTGATTATGATGATGATGATGATGATGATGATGATGATGATGATGATGATGATGATGATGATGATGATGATGATGATGATGATGATGATGATGATGATGATTATGCTGATGATGATGATGATGATGCTGATGATGATGATGATGATGATGATGATGATGCTGATGATGATGATTTGGCTCAAGCAAGCCGTACCGCCGACCCCTTCGTGACAGCAAGAGTGAAAGACGGAGTTCGCGGAACGCTCGCGATCGCTGGGCAATCTTGAGTTTTTGGCCTGGTGTACGTAGCGTGGGGCGTAGGGGATGATTTTGAAGTTTTTCGTGGTCTCATGTGCGTTTCTTGGGGCCTTCACGGGGCCTGTCCCAGGATAGGCTCGGGGATCGTTGAGACCCAGCTGGGGGTCCGTCCGGCCAGAAGTCGAGAGTGGACCCAGCTGTGTCGATGAGGAGCTTCTTGAAGGACCAGAGAGGGCGGAGAGCGCCCAAGAACTAGGAGTCTCATGCTTCGAGCCTCGATCCACCCCGTGATCCTTCGTTTGCGAAGAGGTGGCACCAGCCAGGGAGGTCGATCCTCATGCCGGACCCTCGGTGGTGGTCCCGGGCACCGAAAACGGTTCCTGGAGGCTGAATTCGAGGAGATGCCTCGGGCGGTCGAAAGACCACGAAAATCTGCGAGACATCGGCGGCGACGACGAAGTCTCATTTTTTGTTCTCTTTCTCCTCTTCCTCCTCGTCCTTCTCCTTTTTTTTTCTCGAACGAGGTAGATGCCCGCGGCCGTTCTGGCAGCCTTCCCAGAGGTTTTTGTTTGAACAGCTTTTGTTTTTTGTAGGCTTTGGTCTCCGGGGGCCGTTGCTGGGCCCCCGGACTTTCAAGACAGGACGGACCTGGGGCGAGAAGTTGCATCGGCGGACCCGGGGAGAGGCTCGGGGAACAAATTTGTGCGAAGTAGCCCGTTGGACTCGGGAAGTTTGTTGTGGTTGTCGGGTTTCCGGGCCCTTCTTCTATCGCCGCGGCGGGATGCATTTGGGAAAACAATTGCGACTCCATTCTGGGAAGGGTCCGGGGGGCCCATGGCGAACGATTTTTGCAGTGGGGAGAAGAATTCGGTTGCAGTTTGCAACTGTAAAGACTAAAAAACTCTGAGTTTTTTAGTCTTTTCAGTTTTGTCCGTGGTTTTCGTCGTCGAAGGGCCGCCTCCGGGGCCGCTTCCGGGCCCTTAGGTCATTCGGGGGCATTGTGGATCCCCGTCCGGGCCTTTTGGGTGCATTCAGGCACCCTTTCATGTTTTCTCGGGGCGAAGTGCTCGAATTCTCCATCCGGGTTTCGCTTCTTGCCCTCCTGGTGGCTGGGGACCTTCTTGGGGCTTTCCCTGGTGGCTTCGGGGTCCCTGTTGGGGCCCTTTTGTGCCGTCTGGGAACCTTCTTGGGGGCGTGCGGGGGTTTTTGGGTTGATTCTGGAGGCTTTTTTGGTTGCTGTGGGACTCGCGAAAGCTCGAGAAACGAACGTGTTAAACTTGGACGTTTCCCTTCGGGAAAGGGGCCGAGGTTTGGTTCTGCCGGGCCTCTTGGGACGCGTCCTGGTGGCGTCTTGGGGCGTCTAGGGGGCCTCAGGGGTCAGCTGGAGGCAATGGCAGGCGTTTGAAAGCGATCTCCTCACGAGTCGTCACTCGCGTTCTGGCGCCTTTGGGGGAGCCTTGTTGGACCCATTTTGGGATTTTTTGGGGGCCGTCCTGGGGCCGTCCTGGGTCGGTTTGGTGGCTTCTGGGGCCTCTTGGCGCCCATGTGGGCTGCCTTGGAGTCCTTTTGGGAGCCTTTCTGGGTCGTGTTGGCTCGATGTGGAATGCTTCTTGGGCTGTTGTGGGCCTCGCTAAAGCCGAAGAGGCGAACGTGCTGGAAATGTATGTTGCCCATCGAAAATTAAACGCTTGTTGCTTCTGGAATGCCTTTTGGGACGTCTCTTGGCGGTTTCGCCGTCTTGGGTGCCTGTAGGACCGCCGGGAGGTAATCTGGAGCGTCTTGGAGCGATCCCTCGACGAATCGTAGCCCTCGTGGGCCGTCCAGGAGGCCTTTGGGGACCCTCTTGGCCCATGTTGGGGCCCTTTTGAGGCCGTCCTGCGGCTCTCCTGGGCCGTTACGGTTGTATCTGGGGCCTTCGCGGGGCCTTCGCAGGCTGTCTTGGAGCCTTTTTGGGGGCCTCTTGGGTTATGTGGGGTCGCTCTTGGAGGCTTCTTGGGCCGTTGTGGGCGTCGTAAAGGCCAATAGACGAGTGTATTTAAGATACATGTTCTGTCCGTCGGGAATCGGATGGTTTTTGTTTCTGGAGGGCGTTTTGGTGGCTTTTTGGGGCGTCTTGGGGGCTTCTGGGGCCGTCTGGAGGCAATCCTCGGCGTTGTGGAACGATCCTTCGTCGATTCGCAGTTTTCTTGGAACGTTCTGGC